GCAATGAAAGCTCTGCACAGTGTTTGGGGTCAGGCTTCTGGAAGAAGCTTTTAAGTTCTTTATTGCAGTTTTTTTTCCAAAGCAAGCAGAAGAAGAGAGAGAGAGAGAGAGAAGAGAGAGAGAGGAAGGGAGACCAAACACACACAAAGAAAGCTCTCCAGTCAGAATGTTAATTAAAGTCTGTGTTGCAGGGATATGCAGTGTAGCTAAATGTATTCTGGAGGCTGTCAGTATTGACCTGTATTCACCATCACTGGAGGCAAATGGAAGGGACCGCTGGCCACAATGATAGAGCAACAACTGAAAGCAGGAACCGTACTTGCAGCCTTGAGTATTAAAGGGCTATGCCAGCCCAAACTGGGGAAGCCCTCCTTTGGGGGGGGGGGGGTGGTATGAGAAATGACCCTCCCCAAATAGGATGTAGTGATAACCGTGTAATAGGAGAACCAGAACCTTCACTAAGTAGAAGAGCGTGTTTGATCATCAAGTTGGCATCTTCGCTTCCGCCCAGGACAAGGCCTCTGTGAACAGACGGGATTCCCTTCCTGGGAAATTAACCAAGAATCTAATCAAAGTAATTGGAAGCAGAAGAACTAATGCAACCAGCATATAACATGACCCATAAGTATACAGCTGCGCTCAAAAGTTTGCATACCCTTGGAGAATTGGTAATATTATGTACTATGTTAAAGAAAACAGGAGTGAGCAGGAAAAACACATTTCTTTTATTTCTCATGTGATCCATATCCAGCTGATTCAACATAAAGACATTGCTTTGAGGGAATGCTGGGGAGATCGAGTCACAGCCTGAAGGAGGCCTTGGACACGGCCCCGAGGAGGCCTAGGACACGGCCCCGAGGAGGCCTTGGACACGGCCCCGAGGGGGCCTAGGAGGCCTTGGAGGACACGGCCCCCGCCTAGGACGGCCTTAAACCGCCCCGACGGCCCCGAGGCCTAGGACACTGCCCAGAGGAGGCCTAGGACACTGCCCAGAGGAGGCCTAGGACACTGCCCAGAGGAGACCTAGGACATAGAGAAAGTACTCACAAAACCTGGGGGAGATTTAAAAAAAAAAAAAACTACCCCAGATAGAAACACTGCCCTAGTGAGCTCTGGGGAGATAGTACAGTGCGCTCTGAGGAACCCCGGGGGTGCAGACAGTGGTGGGACAAGGTCAACCAGTTCCCAGGGCGAGGATGCCAAATTGTACTCCACCCTTCCCCCGGTCGCAAGAATAACCCCCAGCATTGGAGTCAGTGGATGCATTAATAACCCCCCAGCACAGGTGTCAGTGGACACATTAATAACCCCCCAGCACAGGTGTCAGTGGACACATTAATAGCCCCCAGCACAGGTGTCAATGGGCACACCTTTTTAACCCCCCAGCACAGGTGTCAGTGTGTGCATTAGTGACCCCCAGCATTGGTGTCAGTAGACACCATAATAACCCCCAGCACAGGTGTCATTGCACAAAATAGTAACCCCCAGTACAGGTGTCATTGCACAAAATAGTAACCCCCAGTACAGGTGTCAGTACATGCAATAACTACTGGCATTGGTGTCAATGGACACAATAATAACCCCCCAGCATTGATGTCAGTGGACTCCGTAATAATCCCCAGCATTGGTATCAGTGGACACAATAATAACTCTCAGCACAGATGTCAGTGAACGTGCTAATAACACCTAGCATTGATGTTAGGGGACATAATAACCCCCCCACACAGGTGTCAGTGGACACATTAGTAACACTCAGCATTGATGTCAGTGGATGCAATGACTCCCAGCACAGGTGTCAGTGCACGCATTAATAACCCCTAGCATTGGTGTCAGTATTATTAACCCCCTCCCCCCATTGGTGGTCAGTGGCATTGAAATGTAGCCCCTCCCATGACCACCAATGTGGGGGAGGGGGTAACTTAAAATGTCACTGCCACTGACCACCAATGTGAGGAGGGAGGTCAGTGGTAGTGAAAGTTAACCCTTCATCCCCCACCTGCATTGGTGTTCACAGCAATATTAACCACTTCCTACTTCCTGTGCTCTGGTGTTGAACAGGGAGCAGCCGCGATACTAATCCATGATATCAAGCCAGCTGAGCTTTCCTTAGCACAAACACGTCTCTTCTGCTCTGCTCACATCTCCCTCTTCCAGGCCGGTGGGCCAGATCTCTGAAGCTCTCATCCTGCCCACACAGCAGGCAGCAATAGCAGGCAAAGAGGAGGATCCGCCAAACTGCTGGAGGCAACCACACATGTGCTCCTTGCTTTAAAGGCCAGTTATAGATTGCAGTGGCGGCCAGTTATAGATTGTGGTGGCTGCAATTTGTTTGCACTGTTGGTGAGGAGATGCACTGGAAACCTTCGCTGCCATTGTACTATTGCTTGGTGTCCAGTGAGTCCCAATACCTTTAAGGAGAGGTGGGTTCCTACCAGGCATACCTGATCTTACTCTATCCTTTGTTGTATGTGCTCCAACTCTGGAGACTCTTCGATTGTATAGAGTTAGAACTGCAGAAATACTGGGATGCTGTGAAGTGGCCTCTGTAGGTTATGCATATATTTGCAAATGTGTGCAAACAAATCCCCTTGTTTTAATGTGAACTGTTAGGGTAATTCGGTTTGTTGCAGGCTGGCTGGTAAGTGAGCTGGGAAGCCTGCAAAAGGGCAGTGAGTTTTTGTGCATGCCAGGAATGCAAGCAATTTTGCGCACATCCTGCACAGAAGAAATGTCTAGCTAGGGCAGGGGTAATGATATCAAATTCAAGGAGATGCAGTCGCTAAAAATTTGCTGAGGGTGCAAATCTCTCTCTAGTAAAACATAAAAGTCAATCACACTGGAAGCCATGCATTCCCATGCCATCACACTGCCTCCACCATGTTTTACAGATTATGTTGTGTGCTTTGGATCATGAGCTGTACCAAGCCTTCTCCACACTTTTTTCTTCCCATCATTCTGGTACAGATTAATCTTAGTTTCAGCCATCCAAAGAATGCTTTTCAAGAACTGGTCTGGCTTTTTTAGATGTTTTTTTGGCAAAGTCTAATCTGGTTTTTCTATTCTTCAGGGTTATGAATGGTTTGCACCTTGTGATGAACCCTCTGTATTTGCTCTCTTGAAGTCTTCTCTTGATTGTATACTTTGACATTGATATGCCCACCTCCTGGAGAGTGTCCTTCACTTGTCTGTTGTAAGTGGGATTTTCTTTACCTTAGAGAGGATCCTGTGATCATCCACCACTGTTGTCTTCCGTGGACGTCCATACCTTTTTATGTTGCTGAGCTCACCAGTGCGTTCTTTCCTCAGAAAAACCAAACTGTGGATTTGGCCACTCCTAATGTTACTGTTATCTCTCTGATGGATTTGTTTTGTTTTAGTTTTCACTTGTATAGACAGCTCCTTTTAACTCATGATGTAGGTTCACAACAATAGATTCCAAATGCAAATACCACACTTAGAATCAACTCCAGACTGTTTACCTGCTTAATTGATGAAGAAATAATGGAGTAGCCCATACCTGAAACAGCTTTTGATTCAATTGTCCAATTATTTTTGGTCCCTTGAAAAAGGGGGGAGGGCTACTTTTAAGAGCTGTAATTCCTAAACCCTTCCTCCAATTTGGATGTACATACCCTCAAATTAAAGTGAGAGTGTGCACCTTCAGCCCATATCCATTATAGAACTATAGCATGAATATGTTTTGGTAAATACCTAAAATAAAATCTAAAATTGTGCCTGTGCCCAAATATATGGACCTTTTGTATGTATGTGCTTTCCTCCATCCACAATAACACCATCTGTGGAAATTCACATGGTCCAGCCCAAAAACCTGATTATGTGTACAATCTGCTTGATGTTAATTATATGCCCTATCTAGCAACAAAAATGAAGAAGATCCTGTCATGTATAAAAAAATGTTTTTTAGTTGGGCATCCACTGCAACTGTTTTTATAATTCCCCTTTAAAAAGAACAGGAAGTGTTAGTTAAAAATAAGCCACTGATTTATTCATCTTCTAAAGAACACCAGTGAAGGTCTCCATTCTCCCTTTGATACACATATGACTGTAAATTCTGTCATTGTGTTTTTTTAAAGTCACCTACATCGCTAGATTGCATTTCAATGTATTCAGTGTGATTTGTAGTAGAAATGTGTTCATTCTATGCATTTGTAATAGACATGTGTACAAACATATTGTAAGTTCAGTTTATGTGATTGTATTACAGTTTTACAGAAACAGAAGTAAATAAAGTTTTGGAATGAAACAGCGCTGCTTCTGTCAGTTTTGTTAGCTAGCTGCTGGCTAACCGTTAGTAAGAGAGCATAACCTGAAAACATTCGCTCTGATGCAGTGAACAGACCACACAAAAGACATTTCCCAGATATTGTTCCCGTGTCCCTCTCTATGCAGAGGAGACTGCTTCCATTGTTACCATACTTCACTTCAATATTAGTGAACTATGGTGACTGCATTTCTGACGACCTGGCATTTCCCTGTATCTACTGTCCTCTGTGCTGACCATTTGCCTGCTGCCTGAACTGACCATGCCTCTGCTTGCCACCTGTACTGACCCTAGCCTTTTACTCGACTATGCCTCTGCCTGTCACCTGATCAGACCCTGGACTGTTTATCAACCATACCTCTGCCTACTGCCTGCACCGACCATGGCCTGTTTATCAACCATGCCTCTGCCTGCTACCTGAATTGACCCGTTTATCGACCACCTTTCTGTTTTCTACCTGAACTGACCTCTGCCTTTCGGCCAGGGGCGGACTGACACCTCATGGGGCCCCCAGGCAATAGGGGATCATGGGGCCCCTGTGTCCTTGCCCAAACTCAAAAAAGCCTATGAAAAAGGTACCAGGGACATCTCATGGGGCCCCCTACTGACCCCGGGCCCTCGGGCAGTGCCCGAGTTTCCAAATGGTCAGTCCGCCCCTGCTTTCGACCATGTTCTTTGCCTGCCACCTGGGCTTATCTTTGGCCTTCCACTGCAGTAGTGAGAGTCAAGATAACACAAGAAGTTCATGTATGTGAGGGGCTCCATAGTAGTGTTTCTGACGTTCATGCTGAACGATGTTACAGGCAGCACAACATACTCCACAGCTTCTCCAGACCCTTTCACATCTGTCTCGTGCTCAGGGTGAACCAGTTAAATCAAAACCAAATGCCAATTGAGCTCTATGAGGAGCAGATACTGGTCCTGCTGATGGGTTAACGACCTTTGCGGCCCTGTCCAGCTCTCCTAGAGTAACTGCCTGTCTCCTTGAATCTCCTAAATGCTCTTGGGACTGTGCTGGGAGACACAGCAAACCTTCTGGCAATGGTACGTATTGATGTGCCATCCTGGAGGAGTTGGACTGCCTGTGCAACCTCTGTAGGGTCCAGGTATCGCCTCATGCTAGCAGTAGGGACACTGACCCTGGCCAAATCCAAAACTAGTGAAAAACAACCAAAAAAGATGAGTAGGGAAAAAAATGGCAGTGGCCTCCACCTGTAAAACCATTCCTGTTTTGGGGGTCATCTCATTGTTGCCCATCTAGAGCACCTGTTGTTAATTTCATTAACACCAAAGCAGCTGAAACTGACTAACAACCCTCTCTGCTACTTACCTGACCAGATCAATATCCTAGGAGTTTAAAGAACTTGATGCTGTATTCTGATTAACCACTTCAGTACCGGGAACTTTTACCCCCTTCCTGCCCAGGCCAATTTTCAGCCTTCAGCGCTGTCGCACTTTGAATGACAATTGCGCAGTCATGCAACATCGTACCCATATTAATTTTTTTAATCTTTTTTTTCACACAAACAGAGCTTTATTTTGGTGGTATTTAATCACCACCGAGTTTTTTTTTGCTAAATAAAACAAAAAATACCTCAAACGTTTGAAAAAATAAAACACATTTTTCTTTGTTTCTGTTATAAAAGTTTGCAAATAAATAACATTTCTTCATAAATGTAGGTCAAAAGGTATTCTGTTACATTTCTTTGGTAAAAAATACCCCAAATTAGTGTAAATTATTTAGTCTGTGGGAAAGGTAGAGAGTCCACAAACCAAGTTACATATATCTGACAATTGATCAATCCTGATGTAATGACGGCCCATCTCATTTCTTGAGCCCCAAAAACACCGGGATAGTACAAATACCCCCCACATCACCCCCAATTTATTTTTTACATATTGTCACCAGTTCAGTACAGCATTACAGAATTATATAACTGGTGTGGTGGTGATCAGAGACACTGACTGGTTACAGTAAGTAAAATAAAATTTAAGAAAAAAAATTTTTTTTTTCAACATTTTTCTATTATTTTTTTTTTAATTACATTATTTTTTCTTTTTTTACTATTTTTCTTTCAACACACTGTGACCAAAGCAAAACAATGTAACCATAGAACATTGAACTACTCTGGGCAAGAGATCAGAATTTTTTATTAAACACATTATGATTGCTAATACCAATGTGTTTGATTGATATTTGCAATCATTGTTACTGAATGAAACGGATTCATTCAGACTTTTGTTGTGATTAGCTCTGATTGGGCAAAGCTGATCACATGATACAGATGGGCTGTGATTGGCCCTGTCTGTATCATGTGACTGCTTTGACCAGTCATAGCTAACAACATAATTGTGTACAATGGATGGCATGACAGCAAACCATCCATTGTATACAATTGACATGTGATCTGCTGTGATTGGTCATATGACACTGGCAATGGGCTGGTGTAGTGATATGTCATTGGCTGTGTCCCGGGGAGACAGCCGGTGACAGATCAAGTGGCTGCACGGCCCCCGGCTCATCTTGACAGGACTTCATATGAGCCCAGTCACAACAAAAAGTGCCCCGCCCGGCCATCAATCTGCTATTGGTGTTAAAAAGTGGTCCTTTAATTTTTTGAGCAGTGTATGTACTATCGTGTTTGTTCTTATAGCATATTATATCTTACAGTTTATTTCCATAAGAAAATAAAAATAAACACAAACACACCCACACAGACCCTTTTGCCCACCCCTGTATAGTTCTTTGTCCAATAAACAGCACTCTGCAAACTATGTGGGGCTGTCCTGTCTAATCACCAGGAAGTAAGGTGTTACCCTGAATATCCTCTAGGAAGCATGGTGCTGTCCTTTACCAGGTGGCATTTGTACACTGCAAGAAAATACCTTGACCCGGTCAGCATTCCAGTCCACATCTCGCCCCTTTGATCTTGTTGCAGGCCAGGAAATCAGTCATTTTAACCTCTGCGTCAACAGATGTAAAAAAATGAGACAAATAAATAATTCCTGAAATTTTTCCACCTTTATTGTAACCTATAAACTGTACAACTCAATTGAGAAACAAACTGAAATCTTTTAGGTGGAGGGAAGTAAAAATAAAAAACTAAAATAATATGGTTGCATAAGTGTGCACACCATTAAACTAATCCTTTGTTGAAGCACCTTTTGATTTTATTGCAGCACTCAGTCTTTTTGGGTATGAGTCTATCAGCATGGCACATCTTGACTTGGCAATATTTGCCCGCTCTTCCTTGCAAAAATACTCCAAATCTGTCAGATTGCGAGGGCATCTCCTGTGCACAGCTCTCTTCAAATCACCCCACAGATTTTAGATTGGATTCACGTCTGGGTTCTAGCTAGGGCTAGGCCATTCCAAAACGTCAATCTTCTTCTGGTGAAGCCCCAGTTCCAGCTGAAGAAAAACAGCCTCAAAGCATGATGCTGCCACCACCATGCTCCACTGTGGGTATGGCGTTCTTTTGGTGATGTGCAGTGTTGTTTTTGTGCCAAACATCTTTTGGAATTATGGCCAAAAAGTTCAACCTTGGTTCCATCAGACCATAACACATTTTCCCACATGCTTTTAGGAGACTTAAGATGTGTTTTTGCTAAATATACCTGGGCTTGGATGTTTTTTTTTCTATCTAATTCTTGGAAATTCTTTTGCACCCTTTTCCTGACTGATACCTTTTAACCATGAGATCCCTCTGATGCTTTAGAAGCTCTCTGTGGACCATGGCTTTTGCTGTAGGATGCAACTAAGAAAATGTCAGGAAAGCCCTACTAGAACAGCTGAACTTTATTTGGGGTTAATCAGAGGAACTTTATATGATGGCAGGTGTGTACTGACTCCTATTTAACATGATTTTGAATGTGATTGCTTAATTCCAAACACAGCTACATCCTCATTTAAAAGAGGGTGTGCACACTTATGAAACCATATTATTTTATTTTTGTATGTTTACTCCGCCTCCCCCACAGTTTATAGGTCACATTAAAGGTGGAAAAAGTTATGAAATTATTTCTTTGTCTTTTTTTTTTTTTACATCACAGAACAAGTCTATACACCCCCGTTAAAATGTCATTTTTCTATCCGTTGTGCCTTCCTTCAATGCGACACTAATAAAAGTAATTTTTTTTTTTTTTTTTTACCATGGATATCATTGTTTGTGTACTTTAAAAATGTACTACCCCTGCTTTTTTTTCTCTATCAATGTTTTTTTTTTTTTTTTGGATACTCTGAGGGCCTATAGGAAATAAATAGGCACAGGTAATATAATGGGTGTTAGCTAATTGCAAAATGCATTTCAGTATCTTCTTGTTGTATTTGAGACCATGGACATGTAGTCGACGTGTCCTGGTTCAGATTCTTGCCTTGGAGGGGATGGAACATTGCCTCAAATACTTGGGCAGCACAGTGGCTAAATGGTTAGCACTTCTGCCTGGCAGTAGTAGGGTTGTTGGTTCAAATACCAGCCATGGCACCACCTGCTTGGAGTTTGCATGTTCTCCCTGTGCCTGCATGGGTTTCCTCCGGGTGCTCCGGTTTCCTCCCACACTCCAAAGACATGCTGGTAGTTTAATTGGATCCTGTCTAAATTGGCCCTAGTATATGAATGTGAGTTAGGGACCTTAGATTGTACACCCCTTGAGGGTTAGGGAGTGATGTGAATGTGCAATATATATGTAAAGTGCTGCGTAAAATTGACGGCGCTATATAAGTACCTGAAATAAATAAATGGGAGGACCTAACACACCATTGAGTAGAGTATGGACTGGCTAGAATTGGTGACTTTTAGACAAGGCAATATTGTCCAATAAAAGCCTAGTTTATCCCCACACCCACCCGCTCACAAAGTATGTATTCATTTCTTATCTTAAAGTGTATCTAAACCATAAGCAAAAATATAATTTATTGCAGCTCACCAATTCTTAAAGTGGTTGTAAAGGCTGAAGGTTTTTTACCTTTATGCATTCTCCCCCCACATCCCTCCTAATACTTACCCAAGTCTGACCGAGAAAAAGTGATGTGCACGTGTGCTCTTCTGATTGGCTGAAACACCACAGCGGGAGCCACTGCTGTCAATCACAGCCACTGTGCGTCCCATAGACACACAGAGGCAGCTCAGGTGCGAGCACGCATGAGTGCCTCCAGAGCAAAGCTTCCTTTGGGGTACTCAGCGGGGGGTAGGGGCTATAAGTGCCAGTGAGGGACCCTAGAAGAGGATAGGGGCTGCTCTGTGAAAACCATTACAGAGTAGAGAAGTATGACAGGTTTGTTATTTTAACAACATCGGTACTGCACAATATCCAAAAGTCATCTACAGCATGGCTCTCCTGTACTGGGTGTCCATGGACGCACTCCCAGAATGCGCAGCGGGAGAGCTCTGTGACCGCTGTATCCTTTGGACACAGCCAATCACAGACTGAGGTAATTAAGGCATGAGGAATGCTCTGTGACCACAGATTGAGGTAAAGGGCCAATCACAGTGGCCGTTTACCAATGACAACTGATCCCTGTAAACATGGCAGTTATCGGCGTTTCCCTTCCTCACACGCTGTCACTGACAACCGGCAAACCTAAGAGGGCACATTTACACTAATAATCAGTGCAGCTTATCAGTGCCCATCAGTTCAGCCTCATTAGTGTACATCACTAAAGAAGAAAAATTACTTATTTGCTAATTTTCTTCTTTCACAATGTTCAGTCTTTTTTAATTTGTTTAACAAAAATTAAAACAAAAAACACAATGGTGAGATCGGTCTCCAAAAAAAAAAATGATAAAAGTTTTATCTGGGT